AAAAAAATACCCTGTGACGTACCCAACCCATTTGTATCAATGGAAACCAGGAGTTGGCCGAAACTTGTATGGACAATCAACTTGATGTGTAAGCTACTTGGGAGGCGTCACTGTGCCTGGGCCCCCCAGCAGCCTCGAAAGTGGCGACAGTTTCACAGATCGCAGCCCCCCAGGGATGGCGAGGTCCCATTTGATTCTGCGGTGGGTACCCACTGTGCCGGGCCCCCCAGCAGGCCTCGAAAGTGGCGACAGTTTCACAGATCGCAGCCCCCCAGGGATGGCGAGGTATAATTTGAGTCCGCCGTGTGCACCCTCTGTGCTGGGCCCCCCAGCAGCCCTCGAAAGTGGCGACAGTTTCACAGATCGCAGCCCCCCAGGGATGGCGAGGTCCCATTTGAGTCCGCCGTGTGTCCCACTGTGCTGGGCCCCCCAGCAGGCCTCGAAAGTGGCGACAATTTCACAGATCGCAGCCCCCCAGGGATGGCGAGGTCCCATTTGGACGGCGGTGGGTACCCTCTGTGCTGGGCCCCCCAGCAGGCCGCGAAAAGTGGCGACAATTTTCCACGATCGCAGGCCCCCCAGGGAATTGGCGATGTCTAATTTGAATCCGCCGTGTGTTCCCACTGTGCTGGGCCCCCCAGCAGGCCTCGAAAGTGGCGACAGTTTCACAGGTCGCAGCCCCCCAGGGATGGCGAGGTCCCATTTGAATCCGCCGTGGGTACCCAGTGCGCTGGGCCCCCCAGCAGGCCTCGAAAGTGGCGACAGTTTCACAGATCGCAGCCCCCCAGGGATGGCGAGGTCCCATTTTGAGTCCGCCGTGGGTACCCACTTTGCTGGGCCCCCCAGCAGCCCTCGAAAGTGGCGACAGTTTCACAGATCGCAGCCCCCCCCAGTGATGGCGAGGTCCCATTTGAGTCCGCCGTAGGTACCCACTGTGCTGGCCCCCCCAGCAGGCCGCGAAAGGGCAAACGTTTCACAGATCGCAGCCCCCCAGGGATGGCGGGTCCCATTGAGTCGCCGTTGGGTACCCCTGTGCTGGGCCCCCCAGCAGGCCTCGAAAGTGGCGACAGTTTCACAGATCGAGGCCCCCAAGGGAGGCGAGGTCCATTTGGTCCCCGGAGGTACCGTGGTGCTGCCTCCGCGCAGGCCCTCGAAAGTGGCGACAGTTTCACAGAACGCAGCCCCCCAGGGATGGCTAGGTCACATTTGAGTGTGCCGTGAATACCAACTGTGCTGTGCCCCTCAGCAGCCCTCGAAAGTGGCGACAGTTTCACAGATCGCAGC